TGGATGCATGGATGGATAAATTGATGGGTGAGTGGATGGGTGAGTGGATAGATGGATGGATGGATGGGTGAATTGTTAAATTAATGAATCCATGGATGGATGGATGGATGGATGAATGGGTGAGTGGATGGATAGATATATGGGTAAATGATTGAATGAATGCATGAATGAGTGGATGGATAGATGGGTAAATGAATGGATGATTGAATGATTGGACGGATGGATCCATTGAACGATTTAATGAATACATGCAAGATTGAATGAACGAATGAAGGAAGGAAGGTGCAGTAAGATTGCATTCAGAGTGGCGTGTGTGCATCCATTAAACTTCTCTGTCTTTGTCTGTTATCCTCCACAGCATCATGTCATCTTTGACCCGGCCGGTTCATATGCTATTGACAGCCTAAAGCCAGACACTCTCTATAAATTCTCTCTGGCGGCGCGCTCTGAGATGGGGCTCGGGGTTTACACACAGCCTATCGAGGCCCGCACAGCCCAGTCCGGTAAGTGCCAAATGATCCCTCCCGTTCAGTTCTAAAAGCAAAAGGGGGTCCAATCTGGTACCAGTAAGGTGTACCTAATAAAGTGGCCGGTGACTGTAATTTAATTAAAAAATGTATTTTTTGTGGTCCAAAAAAATTACATTCACATAAAAAAAGTTTACTATGAAGAATTTATTTTTTACTTTGGTAAAACATAGACTTTTATTATAAGAAAAATTATGTTTTTTTTACCCCTGGGGTGCTTTCACACCTGTAGATGGATTCTTTTGTTCCGAAACAGGGGTTAAAATTGTTACAATGTTACACTTTGTTCTTGGTGTGTTTCGCTTTCAAATGGTAAAGTTTATAAATAGATCAAACTAGCTAAAACAAGTCACGTGCGAGTAAACTCTCCTCACGTTGGTCAGAGTTTCAGGGTTCAGGGTCAGCTCAGCTGTCATGCATCCTTATGTTAATTTATGGCAATGAGCAATAAGACATATTGAAAAGCTGCGCCTTTAATCTTGAGTGGTGACAACCACAGACATCGTCACCAAATATAAAGCAGAGGTAAGACTTCCTCATACATAGCAGTTGGCTTTACATTATAGAGAGAAGTAACAGATAAGCCAAGACTGCAGTTTGCAAGACGGATAAACCGCTCTTGTTAATAGCTCAGAATGCTTTCATTCTCGTATTTGACATAAATACCACATTTACCGTTAGAAAAGATAGAACAGATAGAACAGATACCGGTAGAAAAGTATCCCGCCCTACTCATCATTCTCTCTTCATATTGCTAGGCCCACATGGAGTTTGCACGCTCAGAAATCCGCAGACTTCTAGCCCATCATTGAGTCAGTGTATTCACTTGTGTAAATGTGTGTAAATGTATATGTATTCAGTTTTTGAATTGATTTCACTAATATTATTGTGATATAATAATGTTAAAATGTTCAAATGATTCATTTGCAATACAGTTTGTAAAGTCTTTTAGTAGATCGATTATATGAGAGACTTGCTTCGTTTACTAAATAAGTGGATCTAATTGGATTTGCATTGTAAACATTAAATAAAAGTTAAAAATGTATGTTTTTTTTTATTTAATATATTAGGTTTTTAGTTATAATACTCCTAAAATAATTCTGCATAAATACGCAGATTTTTTTACAGCAAAAAATGTCTGCAGATTCAGCCTGATCTCACGAGAAAACGTAAGTATTTTACGTTATGCCAGTTTAGTGGCTAATTCGTACGAATTCGTACGAGTTCAGTTGTACGAAATTGTACGATTTTAAAAAGGAGGCCTGGCACCTAACCACACCCCTAAACCCAACCGTTATTGGGGGATGAGCAAATCGTACTAAATTGTACGAACTAGATCGTACGAATTCATACGAATTAGCCACTAAATCAAAAAGTTACGAATTGCCGTGAGATTGTGTTAGCAGATTCTGTCTGACCCTACATATAGCTATATATGTCTACATATCCATAATACACTGGGATTATAGCCTAGTTCAGATCATTTTGCTTTTTCCGCTACAATCGATCCGCTCCAGAGTTCGTTTCAATCAAGCCGAGACCACCTCATTAAGGCGATCTTGGACCAATTGTTTTGGCATGGATCCTTGCGTGATTGCTAAATTCATATATGCCAAACAAACTGCGCTAACTAGGGTAACATGCCAGGTTCTGAAACAAAAGTCAAGGTGTGAAAGCTCCCTTAGATGATTTTTGCTTTGGACCAACCTAAAAAAAACGACTAAATTGATAGTTTTTTTCTCAAATTATAGTTTTGACTTGGTTTAAACTGCTGGTTTTAAGTAAATAAACAACTACTTTGTTAAAAAAATTATGCTTTTACTTTTTTCTAAGGGGGTTTGTTTTTTTATTTCTAGGGAGTTATGTCATTTTAATAATATTATGTATCTCGCTCACCACACAAAAGAGTCTGTTTCATCCAGAGCAGGCGTCAGATTCATACACAGCATTCCAGGTGCATCACTGCAGGTTTTTGAGCATCAAAAGCGTGTGGTTTCTGGTTCAGTGTCCGTGTAGATCTGCGCTGACCGTGGCTTTTAGAGCACGCTGATTGTGTGTGGCGTCAGTATGACGCAGGCGGTACGACTTAATCTCTGTCCTCATCTTCCTTCAGTTCCAGAGATATGGACTAAAGCTGAGATATTTATGACAGCTCCTCCGAGAGATCTCCTGCTATTCAGAGCTATTTGTTAGACGTGTCAGCTTTGAGAGGTTTGATCTAAGCCGCTGCTTGGTTCCCATAGAAACACTGGCTTTCTCTTTTCTTTCTGCGACTCTGTCTTTTTTTTTTTTTTTGTCCTGGTGTCTCTGAGTCACTGTCCTCAAAGACCTGACACACTCAATCCCCTCAGTGCTACATAGACAGCTACCTTCCTTCCTATTGAACACGCAAACTTAAAGTTAATGGAGGTAAATCACAATCATACAATTAAAATCACAATTATATATCATATGAGACTTTACTACACATAATTTTTACAAAACTTTTAAAGGGGTGGTGTAGAGTGAATTTTTTTAAGGCTTGGTTGTGTTTATAAGATGCAAAGCAATGTCTACTCATGCTTCACTTGTAGAAAATTACATTATATATATATATATATAT